CTAAAAGGAAATGCAAAAAATGCATAATAAAATTTTGTGTTTATGGGATAGACCATATCCATGATAGTGTATAAAATAATGGAAAACAGTTTTTTGGCTAGACCAATTAACACATAACTGTAATATAACTGATAACTTGAATATGTATTTTAACCAAGAAATGAAACATTCCAATAGACTTCTCAGTGCTGTGTAGGCAGGTTACTCACTAGGTTTTAATGTCTGATTTTACACATTAGATATATAATCCATTCACTTATAGTGTAAATGGTTGCAAAAATGATTCACTTAGCAATAGTCTACAGTCTCCATAAAATATACAGGGGTCCGTGTTTTAAACACAATCCCTAACATGACTTAATAGTATGAAAAGCTAAGTAGGTCAAGATAAGAAACACAAAACCATCTGATTTGTGGAGAAATGGTGATCGAATGTATCATGTTCTCTTTGAAAATGTCAGATCAGAAAAAAAAAACTTGAAGGATCTCAAAATATATTATTTGCCACAAATTCTCAATTAAAAATAGAACAAACTCGTCTTTAATTAATGTGTATATAAAAGTAACTATGACAAACTGTGGAAAATATATTGAACAAAACATGGTGGTCCTGCCTATGATCCCAGCACTTGGGTGATGAGGGAAGGGAGATAAGCAGTTCAATCCTTGTCTACAGAGCAGGTTCAAGGCCTGCTGTATTTTCTCAGTAAAACTCTACTGCGGTTTTACTTTCATGTTTTAAACTGATTTCTCCTTGTGTTGAGGATAACACATGTTTTGTGTCACTATGCCATAATTATCCTGCACCCTCAAAATGGAATCAAAGGCAGCTTATGAAATGGAGTCTCAGGGCAAGGCCCAGCCTAAAAATTTCCAATACTGTCTTATAGAATATGGAGTAACACAGAGTAGGATGCAGCCTAATTTCAGCACTGTCCTATAAAAATCAGCGTGAGAAGGTAACTTTTTGTTGTTAGATCTTATTCTTTCACAAACGCTTTGCCAACTCCTTGCAGATAAGTTCTGCAATCACCTGGGATGTAGGTCACATAATCAACCAATTAAATGTGATTGCTAGAAGTAATCTTTTACTTGTATACATTAGTGTCCTATTATTATTTATCCCAGAAGTCATTATGCATTTTCACACTTTGTAGAATATTTTTGAAGTTATGTGTTGTAAACATAGTATAAATGTTGCTAATTTTTTCCCTGGGGAAACTGGGAACATCCCTTTGGGAAATACTGGAATAATCTGAATAATTTTATAGCAATAAAACTCTCATCTAGAGATGTGTTGTTAAAATATTGTGAGGAATATGTCAGGATCCTAGATGTTGGATGATATTAGAAAACATATGAAAAAGATGTTTCACTGCATGTTTTCCTATTAAATATCAGGGGTGCTGTGAGGAGCCGAGCTTTGTGGGAGGAGAGACATAAACAGTGATTTCTCTTTGTGCTATAGGACTATGGTATAGATTTTGGTATAAGGGAGCTAAGCATATTACTCTTTGTTTGACCTTTCACTTTAACTGTCAATACTTTAAGTTGAGTATTTTAATTATTTCTGTATAATCTTTTATCTTAATTTACTGTCTTCTCATGCAGTTCTTTTTATAGCTGTTTCATATATGTAACTGATGTATATTTCAATTTAATTAATATATATATATATTAGTTAACTTGAAAATTTACAACTTAAATATGCATTAAATGAAACATTCTAGCCATTAAATGTGGAGAATATAGTGTATTTTTTCATATTTGAGTATCCATTATCAGACTGAACAAGTCAAGTTCATGTCACTGATAGAGATGTTTAACATAGTTCTAAAAGCACATTAGAGTGTGTATATATTTCAATGTCATATATGAATTATTAGTAAATGATGTAAAATGCATTCTATTCTTACTGTTTGATACTTAAGTAAATTTAAAAAACATTTTTATCAAAATCAACTAAGCTTACTACATTAATTTAATTTAATGAGGAGAGTCTCAATTTCAGATATCAAGAATAAAGGTTGAGACTTTAAGGTCTCCAATAACACAAGAGGACAAAATTTAAGGTGGATTTTTTTAAAGAGGGATATTATTTAACTTTTTAAAATAAAAAAAACATAATGACATTTGTTGATTTTATTGTTTTGTTATGAAAATATTAATAGACATTACATTATTTACTTTGTCTAGTTTGATGTTTATACTATTCCTGTAGATAATAGTATAAGTTGAACACTGGTTTCCACAATTTGTTTTATAGAAAAGATAACCCAGGAAAAGCATAATGATGCCAATAATGAAATTAGTACATTTCACAAAATAGTAAATAAAAGTGATAAATCGTGGCAGAATAAAAACATAGATTAGACTGACTTTAAACATAAAAATGTATCTTCAAAGATATGATTGAAATGGAGACAATATCACACACTCACAAAATATACACACACAAACATAGAGAGGGAGAGGGAGAGGGAGAGGGAGAGGGAGAGGGAGAGAGAGAGAGAGAGAGAGAGAGAGAAAGAGAGAGAGATTTATGCCTGTCTTGTGGCTCATGTTCTTGTTTCCTTGTTTTCTATGTTGATTTTATCAGATTTGTTGTAGACTGACCACCAGGGATAAGAAACAGAACATCAGTGACATACTTCATCCTCTTGGGTCTGACAGATGATCCTGAGCTTCAGGTTGTGATTTTCTTTTTTCTGTTTCTCACATATGTGCTGAGCATTACTGGAAATTTAACCATCATCATACTCACTCTGCTGGATTCTCACCTGAAGACCCCCATGTATTTCTTCCTCAGGAATTTATCCTTCTTGGAAATTTCCTTTACTTCTGCCTGTAACCCTAGGTTTTTGGTCAGCATCCTAACTGGAGACAAATCAATCTCCTATAATGCTTGTGTTGCTCAACTATTTTTCTTCATTTATTTTGGCTCAACAGAGTTTTTCCTTCTGGCATCCATGTCCTATGATCGCTATGTGGCTATCTGCAAGCCCCTCCACTATACAACCATCATCAGTAAAAAGATCTGCTACCAGCTCATCATCAGCTCCTGGCTGGCTTGTTTCTTGGTAATTTTTCCACCATTGGCCATGGGCTTAGAGCTAGATTTCTGTGACTCCAACATTATTGACCACTTCACATGTGACTCTGCTCCTTTGCTCCAAATCTCCTGCACAGACACAAGCACTCTGGAGCTCATGAGCTTTATATTGGCTTTGATCACGCTTATGACTACGCTGATGCTGATAATTGTCTCTTACATTTACATCCTCAGAACTATTCTGAAATTTCCTTCAAGCAAACAAAGGAAAAAGGCCTTCTCAACCTGCTCCTCACACATGATTGTTGTTTCCATATCCTATGGAAGCTGCATCTTCATGTATGTAAAAACATCTGCCAAGGCTGGTGTTGCCTTGACAAAGGAGATAGCTATACTCAACACCTCTGTTGCTCCCATGTTGAATCCTTTTATCTACACTTTAAGGAACCAGCAGGTGAAACAAGCCTTTAAGGATCTTGTGAGAAAGGTATTTGCCTCAAAAACACTGATGTGATATAGATTACAAATGAAACATGGGACAATTTCAGCCATAAAACTCATGAACATGAGTCCTTGTTTAGTTCATCTCAGAAACAAAAGTGTATGCTATTCTTAATGCATTTACTGTACTCATGTTAAAATTCACTTAATAAATTTATGAGCATGACCATTTTGCAATGGTTTCTAACTTTATATGATAAAATTAGAAATGAAGTCATTTTTAATTATAGCTTATGTATGTCGAGTAATACATATATTCATTACATCATGCATATTTTTGGAAAGATTATGACTTTGAATCTCCTTGTTAATTCATGTATGTGCTACACAAATATATACACATATAGTCTTACATGTATGTTTATGTGTCTGTACTTGTGTATACATGTATATCATGACTTTTTTCTCTGATGGTGTTAATGAATGTATTGTATTTTTATAGCTGTTACTATCATTTCTTAAGTGAGACATAAAGGAAATTTAGTAATATGATATGGGAATAATCTATCAGAAGTACATTGAAAGTATAAAGTTCTCAAAAAGACAAAATAGTTGAAAAAAATAAAATTCTAAATGGAAAAGGGAGATATTCATTTTGTACTGAACATGAAACTTAATTTACAACTTACTCAATATTCCAAAATAGAATTCTATTTATGGTCATGATAGCAAATCACCAGAAAAATGTTTAATTTTTCAGGTTAACATTTGTAGAATATTATTATATTTGTTATGGTTCTAATTATTATTTATAGTGGTTTAATTAATTCCAAAAAGCAAAATACACCTTTAAGAATAATTTCATTGGTTATTATTCTCATGGGGAGGAAAGGGAGAAATGAAGGTGATATGAATCTATTTTAATTAAATATATTAGAAAAAAGAGTAATTTCCTGTTTGTCAATTTTTTTCAATTACAGTTATTACTCTAATAAATGGGCAATAACTTTTTTTTTCTGAACACAAAAAGAGACATCTATGTCAGCTGGAGCGATACCAGGTAGTTTATGGGAATTTTTCTATCCTTTACCTGCTGAAAAAGAGATGACCATTTAATCCTCTTCTTAAGACCTCACCCCCCAACCACCACCACAAATGGCAGCCGTCTAAAAGTCAGGCCAGCTCTCATGGCTTAGAACTCATAACCTCCATCCTACCATCACATTCCAAAGGCTGGATTATGAACATAATGACATACCCAACATGTTTATTTATTATATCCCTGCCACAGAACCCAAGACTTTCTCATGCTGGGTGAGTGTTCCACTACAGAGTTACACCCTTAGACCACATGCAAACAAAACACACATACACACACACACACACACACACACAAAGCCTGGATATTCAGGGCTCTCATTGTTAGTTTTTTAATTTCTCACATCAGCACCCAGATGATTCAGAATAATCACTGGGTTTAAATATTAGTAACAGTAGCATCAGGATTTTATGTGCCCTAGGCATGAAACAGCTTTGGCCACCAAGCCAGGCATCAAGCTAGGATGAACAAAGGACTGTCATTTGCTCTGCCCCCGACTGATATAAGAACACCACCACCAACAAGGTGTCTTTTTGCCTGTTGCCATGTTTCAATAACATATTTTTATAAGGACATTTCTTAAAGGAGGGACCAACCTGTGTCTCTGGAAGCTTCTCACACCAAAGGGCGTGATGGGTCATTTGTGTCTGAACTGTGTCCTTGATGGAGTCATCGATGTCTGAACTGTGTCCTTGATGGAGTCATCTGTGTCTGAACTGTGTCCTTGATGGAGTCATCTGTGTCTCAACTATGTCCTTGATGGAGTCATCTATATCTGAACTGTGTCCTTGATGGAGTCATCTATGTCTGAACTGTGTCCTTGATGGAGTCATTTATGTCTGAACTGTCATCTGTGTCATAGAAGAGGAAACACTGCTAAGGGTATCTTGCTGTGAAGCTGGCCCCAAGGATTTTTTTCTGGAAAGTTCCCTGCTTCAGGTCATATACACCTGTAGGCTTTCTGCATTTATTTTTGTGCATTGGGCACATTGACTCTGCAGTTTCATTCATTCATTTAAAATTAGGAGGTATGATGTCTCCTGATGTGCACTCTTTTGGCAATCCATATTAACTGAATTGTTTTCTATTTTTGTGAAAAGTGCTGTAAGATTTTCATAGGATTTTGCATTGAATCCACTTATCATTTTGTGAAAAGAAGCCATTTAATAATACTTTCCCAATACCTAAACATAATAAAGGCAATTTATAGCAAGCCAACAGCCAACATCAAATTAAATGGAGAGAAACTCAAAGCAATTCTACTAAAATCAGGAACGAGGCAAGGCTGTCCGCTCTCCCCATACTTATTCAATATAGTACTTGAAGTTCTAGCCAGAGCAATAAGACAACATAAGGAGATTAAGGGGATACAAATTGGAAAGGAAGAAGTCAAGCTTTCCCTATTTGCAGATGACATGATAGTATACTTGAGCGACCCCAAAGATTCCACCAAGGATCTGATACAGCTTATAAACACCTTCAGCAACATAGCAGGATACAAGATCAACTCAAAAAAAATCAGTAGCCCTCCTATATACAATGGACAAAGAAGAGGAGAAGGAAATCAGAGATACATCACCCTTTACTATAGCCACAAATGACATAAAATATCTTGGGGTAACACTAACCAAGCAAGTGAAGGACCTATATGACAAGAACTTTAAGTCCCTGAAAAAAGAAATTGAAGAAGATGTCAGAAAATGGAAAGATCTCCCATGCTCATGGATAGGCAGGACTAACATAGTAAAAATGGCAATCTTACCAAAAGCAATCTACAGATTCAAAGCAATCCCCATCAAAATACCAACACAATTCTTCACAGACCTGGAAAGAATAATACTCAACTTCATATGGAAAAACAAAAAACCCAGGATAGCCAAAGGAATCCTGTACAATAACACAACTTGTGGAGGCATCACGATCCCTGACTTCAAGCTCTACTATAGAGCTACAGTAATAAAAACAGCTTGGTACTGGCATAAAAACCGACATGTGGACCAATGGAATCGAATTGAAGACCCTGACATTAATCCGCACACCTATGAACATATAATTTTTGACAAAGAAGCCAAAAGTGCACAATGGAAAAAAGAAAGCATCTTCAACAAATGGTGCTGGCAAAACTGGATATCAACATGTAGAAGGCTGCAAATAGATCCATCTCTATCACCGTGCACAAAACTTAAGTCCAAGTGGATCAAGGACCTCAACATAAATCCAGCTACTCTGAACCTGCTAGAAGAGAAAGTAGGAAGTAGTCTTGAACGCATTGGCATAGGAGACCACTTCCTAAATAGAACACCAGTAGCACAGACTCTGAGAGAAACAATCAATCAATGGGACCTCTTGAAACTGAGAAGCTTTTGTAGAGCAAAGGATACGGTCAACAAGGCAAAGCGACAGCCTACAGTATGGGAAAAGATCTTCACCAACCCCACATCTGACAGAGGACTGATATCCAGAATATATAAGGAACTCAAGAAATTAGACATCAAAATGCCCAACAGTCCAATTAAGAAATGGACTATAGAACTAAACAGAGAATTTTCAACAGAGGAAACTCAAATGGCCGAAAGACATTTAAGGAATTGCTCAACATCCCTAATCATCAGGGAAATGCAAATCAAAACAACTCTGAGATACCACCTTACGCCTGTCAAATGGCTAAGATCAAAAACACTGAAGACACCTTATGCTGGAGAGGATGTGGAGCTAGGGGAACTCTCCTCCACTGCTGGTGGGAATGCAAGCTTGTACAACCACTTTGGAAATCAATATGGCACTTTCTTAGAAAATTGGGAATCGATCTCCCCCAAGATCCAGCTATACCACTCTTGGGCATATACCCAAGGAATGCTCAACCACACCATAAGAGCACTTGTTCAGCTATGTTCATATCAGCATTGTTTGTAATAGCCAGAACATGGAAACAACCTAGATGCCCTTCAACTGAAGAATGGATAAAAAAAATGTGGTACATATACACAATGGAATACTACTCAGCAGAGAAAAACAATGACATCATGAGGTTTGCAGACAAATGGATGGATCTAGAAAAAATCATCCTGAGTGAGGTAACCCAGACTCAGAAAGACAAACATGGTATGTACTCACTCATAGCAGGATACTAGACATGAAACAAGGATGACTTGTCTGCTACTCACATCACCAGGGAGGCTACCTGGAAAACAGGACCCCAAGAAAGACACAGGGATCGCCCAATGACAGAGAAATGGAATGAGATCTACATGAACAGCCTGGACATGAGTGGGGGTAATGAAAGGCGAGGGTCGAGGGAAAGAGAGCTTGGGGGAGCGGGAGATCCCAGCTGGATCAACAACAGAGAGGGAGAACAAGGAATAAGAGACCATGGTAAATGAAAAGCACATGAGAATAGAAAGAAGCAAAGTGCTAGAGAGGCCCACAGAAATCCACAAAGATACCCACACAACAGACTGCCGGCAATGGTCGAGAGACAGCCCGAACTGACCTACTCTGGTGATGGGATGGCCAAACACCCTAATTGTCGTGCTAGAAACCTCATCCAACTACTGAGGGATCTGGATGCAGAGATCCATGACTAGGCCCTGGGTGGATCTCTGGGAGTCCAATTAGCGAGAATGAGGAGGGTTTATATGAGCGAGAATTGTTGAGACCAAGGTTGGATAAAGCACAGGGACAAATAGCCAAATGAATGGAAACACATGAACTATGAACCAATGACTGAGGGGTCCCCACTGGATCAGGCCCTCTGAATGGGTGAGACAGTTGATTGGCTTGATCTGTTTGGGAGGCATCCAGGCAGTGGGACCAGACCTTGTGCTCATTGCATGAGTTGGCTGTTTGAAACCTGGGGCCTATGCAGGATTATTTGGCTCGGCCTGGGAGGAGGGGACTAGACCTACCTGAACTGAGTCTACCAGGTTGACCTCAGTCTGTGGCTGTGGAGAAGGCTTTGCCCTGGAGTAGATGGGAATGGGGGGGGGGGGGTTGGGGGGAAGGTGAGGGGGATGGGAGGGGGGAGAACAAGGGAATCCGTGGCTGATATGTAGAACTGAATTGTATTGCAAAATAAATTAAAATTAAAAAAATAATAATAATACTTTCCTCTAGTAAAGAACATGGAATTCTGTTTACTTATGTCACAGTTTTTAGTGTGGATGTCTCCATCTTCTCAAATTTTTTCTAAGTATTTAATCTTTCTCATGTTACTCTAAATATGATCATTTTCTTAGTTTTTATGATTCTTTTTGTTTGTTTTTGAGATAGGGCCTCTCTACATATCACTGGCAGTTCTGAAACTCACCATGTAGACCAGGCTGGGCTCAGTATCTCAGAGATCTGTCTGTTTCTGTCTCCAGACTGTTAGGATTAAAGGTGTATACCATTGTACCTGGCTTTGTTTAGATTAGATTTTTGTTTATGTACAGCACTGGAATTTAACCTAGGTCCTAAAAAATGCTTAGCAAATAAGCATCCATCCTCTGTACTATCCCTCCCTGGACACTATTTTAAGTTTGATTTGTGGTACACTCACTAAATTTTCCAGGCTCTGTCAGTATTTTAAGTAGTTGGGATTCCAGGTCTGTGTCAGGAGGTTTAGATTGCTACTGATTTTTGTATTTTGATTTTTTATTTTGCAACTTTACTGAGTTTATCAGGTTTTTTAAATTATTTTCTCTCTCCCTCCCCATTTCTGTATTTTGTTTCTGGTTTTCCAGATATTCCATGGTGTAATCGAGAAAGTAAGAGGCTAACTTTCAGGTGTCTGTTCTACGTTGGTGAGGCAGGGTCTTCCTTGTTTATTCATTTGCATCCTGTACTCCAGTACCTAGAGCATTTGGGTAATTTTCTTGTCTCTATCTTTCATCTCTTTATAGTAGTGCTTGTATCACAGATCCATGCCCCAGCATCTGGCATTTACACAGATTCTGGGGACCAACTTGGGTCATCATGTTTGAACACCATGAAATTTTGTTTAGAATTTATTGAGGCAATTTTCTGGTCCTGGGTTTACATTTGTGTGTGTGTTCATGTGTGTGTGTGTGTGTGTGTGTGTGTGTGTGTGTGTGTGTGTGTGTGTGTATGTGTGTGTGTGTGTGTGTGTGTGTGTGTGTGTGTGTGTTTATGTGTTCATTAGGGTTTTCTATATATGAATTCATATGATTTAGAAAAAATGATAGTTATACTTCTTTTTATTAAAAATTTATTCTTTTCTCATACAAATATCCTGATTACAATTTCCCTTCCTTCTACTCCCCGTAGTTTCCCTTACTTACTTTCCTATCCAGATCTACTACTTTTCTGTCTCTTATTAGAAAATAACAGGCCCTTAAGAGATAACAACCAAATATAACAAAATTAATACGATAAAGCACAAACCATCATATTGAAGTTGGACACGGCAAATGAACAGAAGGAAAAGATCCCCAATAGCAGGCACAAGAACATCATGAGGTTTGCAGACAAATGGATGGATCTAGAAAAAATCATCCTGAGTGAGGTAACCCAGACTCAGAAAGACAAACATGGTATGTACTCACTCATAGCAGGATACTA